GTGGCCAGGTTTTGCATCCCTCAGCATCTCCTGGTCAGGACAGAGCCGGAGGAGTGTTGGAATTTTAAGTTTCGATTCTTAGAAATACGAAATGTTTGTACAAGAGGAGGATCCTCCCAGGCTGGCTCTCCTCTCCTGGCTTTTCGCAGTCCAGGCCCTGCAGCAGGCAGGGAGTGGAGCTGGAATCCCTCAGGCTGGGTGTCAGAGGCTGGCAGGGAAAGGCAGGGCTGCCCTGGGCTGGCAGCAGCAGCAGGAAGGCAGCTCTGGGCTCTGCTGTGTCCTTTGCTGGTGAATTCCCCCCGGGAGCAGCAGCAGGGAGGGGATGGAGGCTCTCCCTGAGCAGTTTGGGATCAGTTCTGAGGCTGGATCGGAGTCTGGGAGCTCTCCTTTCCTGGGCTGGGGAGCTGGGCAGTTCTGGAGCTCTCAGTGTCCCACAGAGACAAAGCTCTTCCCATCGTGGCAGGGAGGGGAAACCCTCGCACACGCAGCAGTGCAGGTCAGGAGATGATTTCAGTCCAAGGCAACGTGGAGCCAACACAAGGAGCTGCAGAGATGCTCTGGGAAGGCTTTGGCTCCAGCCCCAGCCCCTCCTGCCCACCTGAGCAGGATTTGGCTCTGGAGCACAGCAGAGTGCCCAGAGCCAGGCTGGGTCCGAGGGGACACGGGCGCGAGGGAGGGGACAGCAGGGATGTCCCCATGCAGGTGCATCCGTGGGACTGGGCAGCTGTGGGGCCACCCCTCAGCCTCTCTGGGGAAGCAGTGGAGAGGAGGAAAAGGGAATTGGTTCCCACAGGCTTTGGGGAGGCCTCGCTGGGACTGGAAAGCTTCAGGAGTGACCCAGGCCCCTGCTCCAGGCAGCCCAGGGAGCTTTTGGCACCCTGAGGAAAAGCGGAATTGGTTCAGGAGTGATCCAGGCCCCTGCTCCAGGCAGCCCAGGGAGCTTGTGGCACACTAAGGAAAGAGGGAATTGGTTCAGGAGTGATCCAGACCCCTGCTCCAGGCTGCCCAGGGAGCTTGTGGCACACTAAGGAAAGAGGGAATTGGTTCAGGAGTGATCCAGACCCCTGCTCCAGGAGCTTGTGGCACACTGAGGAAAAGGGGAATTGGTTCAGGAGTGATCCAGACCCCTGCTCCAGGCTGCCCAGGGAGCTTGTGGCACACTAAGGAAAGAGGGAATTGGTTCAGGAGTGATCCAGACCCCTGCTCCAGGGAGCTTGTGGCACACTGAGGAAAGGGGGAATTGGTTCAGGAGTGACCCAGGCCCCTGCTCCAGGCAGCCCAGGGAGTTTGTGGCACACCAAGGAAAGGGGGAATTGGTTCAGGAGTGATCCAGCCCCTGCTCCAGGCAGCCCAGGGAGCTTGTGGCACACTGAGGAAAAGCAGAATTGGTTCAGGAGTGATCCAGCCCCTGCTCCAGGCAGCCCAGGGAGCTTCTGGCACACTGAGAAAAGGGGAATTGGTTCAGGAATCACCCAGCCCCCTGCTCCAGGCAGCCCAGGGAGTTTGTGGCACCCTGAGGAAAAGGGGAATTGGTTCTCCCAGGCTTTGGGGAGGCCTCGCTGGGAATATCAGGCTGGTGCTGGAGTGACCCAACTCCAGGCAGCCCAGGGAGCTTGTGGCACACCCCAATCCGTGCTTCCCAACCCCTGGGATTTGGGAAAATGCCCTCCCTGCCTCTCCAGGCAGGAGCTGCCACCACTCCCTGCTGCCCAGGGCTGCTCTGTGTGTGAAGCACTTGCAGGCTCAGTCTCCTGGCTCTGCAGTCACCAGCAGAGATTCCTCATCCCACCAGCAGCAGCCTGAGCAGAGCAGATCCAATCTGAGGTCAAGTTCCCACTAAAATCAAGTGGCTGGGAAGAAAAACTTCATTACTGGCGGCAGCAGCAGCAGCAGCAGCAGCGGGGCTGATGTTTATTAGTCAGCAATGAACAGCAGAAGGTTTTATTTTGCTGCTTTTACAGCACTGCTGGGCTGTGGCTGCAGCTCCCTCTCGGCACATTTTGCTTTCCTCCCTTTTTTTCCTCGGTGAGCTGTGGAAAGGCGGCCAAGGAGAGCCCTGGTGCCCCTGCCCCGCTGCATCCTGCCTTGGTGGCCTTTGGGATGGTGGTGGCAGTGCCCCATGCCCCTCAGCCCTCACCTGCAGCCCCTGATCCCCATCCCAGCAAAGCGGGGACACATTTCAGATCCCACTCTGAGCACCCAAAGCGTCACTGCCTGGGGCTTTGCCGGCACAGAGCTGACCCGGGCAGGGAATTCCCAGGATTTCTGCATTTTCCCGGGGTTTATCACAACAAACCAGTGCAGAGGGAGGTGCAGCTGCTGGGAGCAGGGGTCCCCCCCTCATCCGTGGGGATTTTGGTGGCAGGGCTTGCACGGACACGGCTGGGATGGGGTCAAATCGGGTTTGGCCTGGCTGCAGGTGAGTTCTGGGGGCTCCACACATCCCCCTCCACATCAGGCATCCCCATCACTCACACATCCCCCTTGTCATCACTCACATATCCCCCTGCCCATCACACAGCCCCTCCCCAGCACTCACAGAGCCCCCTCCCTATGGCACAGCCCCCTCCCCATCACTCACATAGCCCCCTGCCCATCACACAGCCCCCTCCTCATCACTCACACAGCCCCTGCCCATGGCACAGCCCCCTCCTCATCACTCACATATCCCCCTGCCCATCACACAGCCCCTCCCCAGCACTCACACAGCCCCTGCCCATGGCACAGCCCCCTCCCCATTATTCACACATCCCCTCCCCATCACTCTCACATCCCCCTGCCCATCACACAGTCCCCTCCCCAGCACTCACAGAGCTCCTGCCCATCACACAGCCCCTGCCCATGGCACAGCCCCCTCCCCATTATTCACACATCCCCTCCCCATCACTCTCACATCCCCCTGCCCATCGCACGCCCGCCCTCGGCGCACACACCGCCCCCTCCGAGTGCCCACGGCGGCGGCACTGACGCATCGCTGCGGCGATGACACCGAGCCCAGCCCCGCTCCCGGCCCTCCCGGAGCTCTCCCCGTGCCCCGGAGCTGCTGCAATTCCTGCAGCCGTGCCCCGAGCCCGGGCTCAGCCGCGCTGCCACCTCCGTGCCCAGCCAGGGGACAGGGAGGTGCCACACACGGGCACCTGAGCGCTGGCGCTGTTCCTCGGAGGAGCAGGAAAGAGTTAAAAGCAAACAATCGCTCACATGGCTCTGCTTTGTCTTGCAGTAAATGCAGCGTCCAACAGAGCCGGGAGCAGGTAGCCTGGCACTGAGCCCTTTTTGGGAGCTGGCAGGGGTGGCACAGCAGGATGGGGTGGCCCAGGCTGGCATCTGCGGCAGAAGCTGGGCACAGCCATGGGCAAATTCCAGCCAGAGCCGAAGTTTGGGACGGAGCACGGCCCGGCTGAGCAAGTGGCACCGCAGGCAGGTGGCCCCTGCTGCTGCAGCCTCTCCTCCCACCCCGTTAGTGCTGCGGGCTGCAGGCTCCGTTCTGCCGGCGATGGTGGCACCAGGGCGGGGGCACGGGGCAGGGCGAGCCAGCCCCGGCTGCTCTCTCCACCCAAACCCCCGTTCCCACGGCTCGGCTGTGCAGCAGGGGCCTGCGAACGGATCCGGCCTCTGGCACAGCCCCGCGCTGCTGCTCCGCCAGGAAGCCGCCGCTTCTCCCTCTCCCCTGGGCTTTCCCTGCAGCTCCCGCCGCGCTGGACAAGGAGGGGCTTGGGGAGGGGTCAGAGCCCGGCTTTGGGGCTGGGAGGGCAGCCAGGGACAGGACAGGGACAGAGCCGAAAGCTTCGGGACAGTCTTGGGAAGGCAAATGGAGCGGGTGTGGGGCCGGCCCCGCCGCCCCTCACACAGTGCAGGATCCAGGGGATGGATCCGTGCTGCCCTGCCCCATACAGGATCCAGGGGATGGATCCGTGCTGCCCTCACACAGTGCAGGATCCAGGGGATGGATCCGTGCTGCCCTGCCCTGCCCAGTGCAGGATCCAGGGGATGGATCCGTGCTGCCCTGCCCAGGGCAGGATCCAGGGGATGGATCCGTGCTGCCCTGCCCCATACAGGATCCAGGGGATGGATCCGTGCTGCCCTCACACAGTGCAGGATCCAGGGGATGGATCCGTGCTGCCCTGCCCCATACAGGATCCAGGGGATGGATCCGTGCTGCCCTGCCCAGGGCAGGATCCAGGGGATGGATCCGTGCTGCCCTGCCCCATACAGGATCCAGGGGACGGATCCGTGCTGCCCTGCCCCATACAGGATCCAGGGGATGGATTCCCGGCTGCTGACAGCCCCGTTGTCTGCTCCGCCCGCTCCCTTCGGCTCGGACAAGGGTGGGGAGCGAGTCTCCAGCCCCCCCTGCCCATCCCCATCCTCTCCGTCGCCCCTGCCTCCGGCGTGACTTGCCTGGAAGGAGCAGGGAGGTGTCAGCCCCGAGATCCTCGGAGCCGAGGCCGGACAGACCCCGGCGTGAGCCGGGTGCAGGAGCCGCTGGCAGCCCGTGCCAGGCTTCTCCAGGGTGTCACCGCCGCCCAAACACTTCCAAGGCTTTCCCAGCAGGGAGCGGAGCGCTCTCGGTGCCCGGCGCAGCGTGGGACCGGCCGGAGGGAGCGAGGGAGGGGCAGCGGCCACCGGGGAGGGCAAAGGGGGAAAATTCTCCATCCGAGCAGAAAATCTGCGGCAGGGCCAGGGAAAGGGCTCGGCAGCGGCGGGGCACGGCAGGGCGGCGTCAGAGGGGCAGGGCTGCTTCCCGTGGGGATGTCCCCTCCGCGCTGGCGTGTCCCCTCCGGGCAGAGGGCTGCGGCAGGACACGCGGCAGAGCAAGGATTAACCGGGGAAAACGCAATCCCGAACATCCTGGTCGCCTCGGGAGGGGAGGCGACACTCGCCGGGCGATCCCACCAGGTGCGTTCCCGTGCTGTCACACACCTGTGGCCTCGGCTCCTCCTGAGGTCCCACGCCGTGTCCAGGGGCAGAGCCCCAAAGCCAGCCGTCCCCGAGGGTGGCACGGGGGACCCCGGCCGTACCTGTGCCCACTTGTGGCGGCACTTTGGTGTCGCCGCGAGTTGTCTTTGTTTTGCTGGCGAGGCGGCTCCTCCTGACCCCTATATCCTTCCCAGCACTCGAGAGCCAGCCCAGCAGAGAGGAGCCCCGAGGCCACGGGGCGTTCGCAGCCATGCCCGCAGGTGGCATTGCTGCCCTGACCCCGGTGCCACCCCCTGCCGCAGCCGGGGAGGGGCGCAGGCAGGACAAACCCCGCCGTGCCTCACTCAGATGCTCGTCTGCAGGTCGCCGTTGAGCAGGGTCCTCTGCGTCTCCGTGGTCTCGTTGAGGCGGGATTTGTCCTGCTTGCTGTCGCTGCGGTCGGCCTCGTCCATGCCGCTGACCTTCACCAGGCACAGCACGTTCTGAAAGCTCTTCTTGAAGTTGTCGGACAGGAAGGCGTAGAGGATGGGGTTGGCACAGCTGTTGGCGTAGCTCAGCACCACCACGAAGTCGAACATGCCCTTGAGGACGGGCGTGGGCACGATCATGACGGACACGGAGGAGACGTTGAAGATGTAGAAGGGGAGCCAGCAGAAGATGAAGACGGCCACCACGATGGACACCATCCTGGTGACTTTCTTTTCGGACTTTTTCCTCTTGGAGGAGCCCACCCTGATGCCCGAGGACTTGACTTTGATGATGATGAACAGGTAGCAAAGGCAGATGATGGTGAGAGGCACCAGGAAGCCCAGGATGAAGGCGTAGATGATGAACCCCGTGTACCAGGCGCCCGACTCTCCCGGCCAGATGATGGTGCAGCTACTCCTGCCGTGGTTGTGCTGCACCCCGGCGTAAATCATGATGGGCATGATCACCAGCAGGGAGACGCCCCAGACGGCCACGTTGATCATTTTGGCCGTCCTGGGCCGCCTCCACTTGGCAGATTTGATGGGATGCACCACGGCCAGGTAGCGGTCGACGCTCATCACCGTCAGGCAGAAGATGCTGGTGAACTGGTTGATGCCGTCCACGGTCATGACGATCCTGCAGAGGGCTTTGCCGAAGGGCCAGTGCACCAGGGCCACCTGCATGGCCAGGAAGGGCAGGCCCAGCATGAAGAGCTCGTCGGCGATGGCCAGGTTGAGGATGTAGATGTTGGTGATGGTTTTCATCTTGGCGTAGCGCAGGATGACGTAGATGACCAGCGTGTTGCCGCACAGCCCCACGATGCACACCACGAAGTAGATGAAGGTGAGGATGGCGTTGCTGGTCAGGTCGAAGTGCTGGCCCGTGGCGTTCTGGGAGGTGTTGGTGGGCGCCTCCAGGGAGAAGTTGTCGAAGGGGGAGGCCGGGGAGAACCAGAAGGCGGTGGCATTGGGCAGCTCGTACTCCATGGCTCTCCCTGGGCGCTGCTGGCTCAGAGGAGCCCCGATGTCATCCTCCCTCTGGCTCTGGGGAGAGAGGAGAAGATTCTAGAAATCAGGGAGTAAATAGAAATGAAGGGATTCCTGGGGAGGATCTGTCCATCCTGCTGCCAAGCTCAGCGGGAGAGACGCTCCCTGCAGGGGGGTTCCCAACCCATCTGGCCGTGTCCCCTCCTCGAGCAGCCTCCCCGAGAGCGCCGCAGCTCCTCCTGGCTCTGGCGATCCCGGAGCCTTTAGGACTCCGCAAATCCAGCGGGTGCGTCCCGGTGGGTGCGACTGATGCCGGGAGCACCGAGGGAAAGCCTCCTCCTCCTCTCCCGGCCCTTGGGCGGGTGCAGCCCCTTCCCTCCCAGCCAGCACCAGCACACGAGCCCGGGCGGCTCCGGTGGGCGACGAACTCGCCGCGGGGAGCCCCCAGCCCCGGCCCCGCGTCTCCGCTGCAGAGGGCACCGGGCGGTGCTGCCCCGCCGCTCACCTGCTCCCGCCGCCGCCTCCCGGCCCGCCCGGCTCGGCCCGGCCCGGCGAGCACCGGGGAGGCGCCGGCAGCGCCGGTGCCCCGCTGGGCTCCGCTCGGTTCCGCCCCGCACGGCTCCGCACGGCTCCGCGCACCCGCTCCCGGCGCGGCTCCGCCGCTGGACCAGCGCACCGGCTGCGCCCCGCCCCGCGCGGGGCGGCTCTGCGGGGCCGGGGCGGGGACAGCCCGAGGAGCCCCGAGCTGCCCACCCTGGGCTGCCCAGCGTGAGCTACACACCCTGCTCTGCCCACCCTGGGCTGCCCGGCGTGAGCTACACACCTTGTGCTGCCCACCTTGTGCTGCCCACCTTGTGCTGCCCACCCTGTGCTGCCCACCTTGTGCTGCCCACCCTGTGCTGCCCACCCTGTGCTGCCCACCTTGTGCTGCCCTCCCTGTGCTGCCCATCCTGTGCTGCCCATCCTGCTCTGCCCACCCTGTGCTGCCCACCCTGTGCTGCCCATCCTGTGCTGCCCATCCTGCTCTGCCCACCCTGTGCTGCCCACCCTGTGCTGCCCTCCCTGTGCTGCCCACCCTGCTCTGCCCACCCTGTGCTGCCCACCCTGTGCTGCCCACCCTGCCCTGCCCACCCTGCCCTGCCCACCCTGCCCTGCCCTTCCCACCACCATTCCCTCTCCTGCCGTGCCCACCCTGCCTCCAGCCCTGCCTCCCCACTGTCCCGCTACATTTTGGTTCCAGCCACGGCCTCAGCTTCTGCAGAGCCACCGGGGAGAGGGCAGCGTGCTGTGACCCAATGGAGGGTGACCCAGGAGGCTTCTGAGAGCCCCAAATTCTCCCTGGAACGCTAGAAATTCCTTGGCCCCAGGAGTTGGCATCTTGCCCCCACGGCCAAGCCAAGGCAGGTCCTTGCTGGTCCTCCCATCTGGGCGAGGCTGGAAGGTGATGCTGAAACATTTGGGGTCTCTGGGGACTTGTGCAGCACAGGTGGCTCCTGCCACAGCCTCTCCCTGGAGGAGGAGGACCAAAAACGAGAGGTTTGGGGCAGATAACCTCTAACAGAGGTTTGTTTGGGATCTTGAGAGCAATTAAATTATCTCCATTCCTGCCCCTCTTCCCATCACTTGGCCAGGAGACAATGGAGAGCAGGAAATTAGGAGTGAACAAAGAGCCCCGCGCTGAGGCTGCCGAGCGCGGCCGCGAGCTCCTCGTTTTCACTTCGCCATCCCCTTCCCAAGGCGGATCCAGAGCCACCAGGTCCTGGAGCACCGGCGGGGTCGTTATCAGCCTCATTAATCTTTAGGAGGCAGGAAAAAGCTGCTTGTGCTGAAGAGGATGTGGGAATTAATGTCCCGGTAATAGCGGGAGAGGAGGGGGGGTGAAGGGGATCGGATCCCCGAGGATCGAGCCCAGCCGAGGGGTTTGGTGCCCTGAGACCTTTCCAGAGCTGTTCTGTCCTCTCCCGGCTGCTTCCCGTGCCCAGCAGCGATGTCCTTCCCTCGGCAGCCGTGCCTGGGGCACTCCCAGCGCTGCCTCCCCGAATCTCTGCCATCTCCAGGCACCCAGAGCACCCTGGCCTGGCCGGCAGGGGCCTCTGGCAGCTGCAGAGAGCCCAGGGGGCTCAGGAACCTCAGGGTGCCCCCAGCTCCTGGAGCTGCCTGGGGAGCAGCAGGGCTCCAGCCCCTCCCTGCCTCTCTTTCTCTTCCACCTCGTTGGGAAGCGGGGCCCGGGGAGCTGGGGGAATCCAGCCAGTTCAGCCTGGCTGAACCCAGATCGGATCTTCATTAAAAACCCCATAAAATTAATGAAATGATGGCCCGGTGGGTATTGAGGAGCTGATCTCCGTGCAGGAGGAGGGCAGCAGCAGCTGCCTGAGTCAGGAAACCATCGCTGAGCCTTTTGAAGGGATTTGTTTGTTCACTCTGCCTGGTTTTGGGGCTGAATTAAAGCCCGGTGCAGAGTGTGCTCCGCGTCCCTGGGTGGTCCCTGCTTTGGAGGGACGCGGTACCAGCAGCTGGTTTGGTGCTGGCAGATAAACTCCTCTTTGTCCTTTTGCCTGGGAAGCATCCCCAGCGCTGAAAAGCGATTTACTGGCAGGGCTGGAGAGAGGAGGAACACTCAGCCCCTTCCCACACGGCCAAAATAACCCCTGGGAGAGAGGCACGGGGGTTACGTGACCACAGAGAGGCTTTAAAAACCTTTCCCAGCTTTCTGCCATCCCTTCCCAGCTGCTCCACAAGAGTCCCTGTGGAAAAACAGAGCTCTCGACCCCTGTCCTGGAAATGAGTGTTGTAAGGAGCTGGGCTGGGATGCCAACGGAGGGGTAGGGTGAGCTGGCCTTTCTCCTGGATCTGGGATGGGATGGGCTGGGATGGAGGGAGCTGGGCTGGGATGGGCTGGGATGGGCTGGGATGGGATGGGATGGGATGCACTGGGATGGGCTGGGATGCACTGGGATGCACTGGGATGGGCTGGGGTGCAGGTGCTGTCCCCCAAGAAGAGAAGGATTTGCTATGCAGCCAGCCCGAGGATCCCTGTGAATTTCTTGATGATGATGATGATGATGATGATGATGGCCTCTCTTTGGAGAGCCAGCCCTGAGCAGCTCTGTGACACCCCAGCCCCCTCAGAGGGACCCCGCTGTCCCTGTGGCCGTGGGGACAAGGCCAGCACAGGCGGGGATGACGGCGCTGTTCTGTCCCTGGGGTGGCACTCGGGCTGGCACTGCCCTTTCCCTGCCTTTTCCCTTCCCAGCTCCAGCCCAGCAGCCCCGGGTGCTTCTGCGGCTCTGCTGATTCGTGCCTGGAGGCGGCCTGGCCGCGTTTCAGGGATGCCCGGGCAGGGGGAGGCTCCTCTCTCTGTTCATTATCCGGACAAACAGCCTGGGCAGCGTCCCCGCGCCCCGAGGCGCGGCAGGACCCGGCTGGTGCCTGCCAGATCTAATCGGGAGCGTCTGCAGCGCTGATGGATGGCGGCGGAGAGGCGCTGGCGCCGCCACCTGAGCCCGGGGCGGCGTCCGGGGCTGCCGGGATCCGGGACAGGATCAGAACCTGCCGGGATCCGGGACGGGATCCAGAACCTGCCGGGATCCGGGACGGGATCAGAACCTGCCGGGATCCGGGACAGGATCAGAACCTGCCGGGATCCGGGACGGGATCAGAACCTGCCGGGATCCGGGACGGGATCCAGAACCTGCCGGGATCCGGGACGGGATCAGAACCTGCCGGGATCCGGGACGGGATCCAGAACCTGCCGGGATCCGGGACGGGATCAGAACCTGCCGGGATCCGGGACAGGATCAGAACCTGCCGGGATCCGGGACGGGATCAGAACCTGCCGGGATCCGGGACGGGATCCAGAACCTGCCGGGATCCGGGACGGGATCAGAACCTGCCGGGATCCGGGACGGGATCAGAACCTGCTGGGATCAGGGACGGGATCCAGAACCTGCCGGGGTCAGGGACAGCATCAGAACCTGCCGGGATCCGGGACGGGATCAGAACCTGCCGGGATCAGGGACAGGATCAGAACCTGCCGGGATCCGGGACGGGATCAGAACCTGCTGGGATCAGGGACAGGATCCAGAACCTGCTGGGATCAGGGACAGCATCAGAACCTGCCGGGATCCGGGACGGGATCAGAACCTGCCGGGATCAGGGACAGCATCAGAACCTGCCGGGATCAGGGGCAGCATCAGAACCTGCCGGGATCAGGGACGGGATCAGAACCTGCTGGGATCAGGGACAGCATCCAGATCCCTCTGGATCCAGGACAGCACCCAGATCCCACAGGATCCAGGGCAGCATCCACAGCCCAGATCCAGGGCAGCATCCAGAGCCCAGATCCAGGGCAGTGTCCACACCCCCCTCTGTACCCCGGGGGTCTCCCTATCCCAGCTCCTGCCCTCCCCACAGCCGGTTCCTTCCTCCCTGCCCTCCTCTCCGCCGTTAATTGCCTCCCTGATTGGTTCATTAATCTCGGAGGGGCCGGGCAGGGCTCGGCCGGAGCCCGGAGCGCTGACACCGAGGAGCCTTTGGCCGCCTTTGGCCGCAGATCCCGGCTCTGTGACGGTCCTGGCACTGAACCGGGGCTGGACAGGCTGGCGGTGGCAGCCGGGCTTTGTTCCAGCTGGCAATGTCACCGCTGGTGACAACCCCCGGCCCGGCACGGGCACCCTCGCGTCCCTCCCGGCCGCAGGAGGAGGAGGAGGAAGAGGAGGAGGAGGAAGAGGAGGAGGATGAGGAGGAGGAGGAGGAGGAGGAGGATGGCAGCGTCCCTGTGTGCCCTGGGACGGGACCGTGACCCCGCCTGTGCCGTCCTTGGGGACAGCCCCGTGTCCTCAGTGCCTGTCTGGCCATCCCGGCTGGCTCCAGGCTGACACAGATGGATTTGGGTTGGGCAAGAGCCCGGCCCTGAGCCCAGGCTGCACGGAGGGGACACTGCAGGGACACTGCAGGGACACGCTGGCCCTTCCCAGGGACATCCCCCAGCCAGCAGTGCCTGCTGCCAGCCCTGCAGGATGTGCCTCTCTGCCCCAGACAGTTCATGGCACAGAATCCCAAAGGATTTGGGTGCCCCAGAGCTCCCTGGAGCTGCCCCGTGTGGGGTCTCGGTCACCCCGATGGGACAAGGCAGCAGATTTGTCCCCTTTGGGTGTTTAATGTGCATTTTAGGGGCTCTGGGCCTGTTCCTTCCCTGCTGGAGAGGCAGGGATGTGACACTGGGACAGGGCTGTGACACTGACACAGGCAGGGCTGTGACACTGACACAGGCAGGAATGTGACATTGGGACAGGCAGGGCTGTGACACTGACACAAGCAGGGCTGTGTCACTGAATTGTCCCCGCACACAGAAGTGTCACTGGGCTCCGGGGGTGGCAGTTGATTTTGCTGATGCTCCTGCACAGAGCCACCACAGCTGTCCCCATTGCCACCCACACGTCCCCAGGCAGGGCCATTGCTGCCAGCCACCCCCAGCCTGGGGCAGCGTGTCCCTGTGTCCCCAGGGCCAGCCCTGCCGTGTCCCTGTGTCCCCATGACCAGCCCTGCCGTGTCCCTGTGTCCCCAGGACCAGCCCTGCCGTGTCCCCGTGTCCCCAGGACCAGCCTTGCCATGTCCCCGTGTCCCCAGGGCCAGCCCTGCCGTGTCCCCTGCCGGGTCACAGCTGTCCCCAGCCCTGCCAGCACACTGTCACAGTGTCACCCCAGATCCCCAGGGTGTCCCCATGTCCCTCCCAGCTGGCACCTGGCCCTGCAGCTGATGAGGGATGCAGCAATTCCGGGGCCAGATTGATTAAATCCTAAATCAAGGAGAGTTCAAACCTGACCTTTCCCAGCTGGGGCTGGCCAGGGGCTGTGGCACACAGCTCATGGGATGTGTCCTTCTGTCCCTCTGCCACCCCTGCTCCGTGTGGCATGGCACAGGAGGGGACACCAGGCTCTGTGACCAGGGACAATCGGTGGCAGTGCCACCTCTGCCCCCTGTGATGGTGCTTTTGGGGGTGCCAGGGCATCAGGGCGAATTCCTGCATGGAAAAGGCTGTGAAGCATCGCAGGAGCTGCCCAGGGAGGGTTCAGTGCCATCCCCGGGGGTGGCACCTTGGGGACAGGGTGGCACTCGGTGACCCCAGAAATCTCAATAATTCCGGGATTCTGTGACAGCCACGAGCGACAGGTGACTGTGGCTGCACCCCTCGAGTGACAGTGACAGGGGACAGCCACGGAGCCAGCTCTGCTCGCCCCTATGCGAGCTCATTAACATTGCTAATTAGCCAGGCTGGTTGCGGGGGTGGCAGTAAGGAGGGAGGAGGCTCTCAGGGCACTCCAGTGCCAAGGCGGAGCTGTGTCCAGGGCTCTCTTTGCGGCGGAGGGAGCGGTGACAGTGACACGACAGCGACAACGCCGCCTTATCGCGCCCGCCCGCGCCGCCCGCCCGCCTCGCTTTGAGGCCGCCGCGCCCGCACCAACCGCAGAGCCGAGGGCGGGCCCCGCCCCCGCCGCGCTGCCATTGGCTGAGAACCCCGGGGGGCGGGGCCAGCCCGCGGACACGTGTGCGCACCCGGAAGCGGCGGCGGGACCGGTCCGGCCCGGGCGGAGGTACCGGGGTTCGGATCCGGGTGGGGACGGGGGGTCTGGCACTGACCCGGCCCTGGCACCGCCCCGCAGCCCCGTGTGTGGGGGTCCCGGGGGTCCCGGTAGCGGCCGGGGCACCGGGGGCGCCGCTTTTGGGGGGTTCGGGGCCTGCGGTGGGTCCGGGGATGCGGGGCTGGGGGGTTCGGGGGTCCCGGGGTGAGCCAGCGGCTTCAGCGGTGCGCGGGGTCCTGGAGTTGGCCTGGGGGGCTCGGGTTTGGGGACTCGGGGTTCCGGGGGCTCCGGGTTTGGGGTTTGGGAGTCCTGGGACCGGCTGGGGCCCCGAGTTTGGGGGTCCTGGGAGCACCCGGGGCTCCGGGTTTGGGGATTCTGGCACCGGCTGGAGCTCTGGGTTTGGGGGTTCGGGGGTCCCGGGACCGGCCCCACGGCTGGAGGGCCCCGGGGTGCCGGTAAAGGATTGGGGAGGGGGATATGGGGGTGTTTGGGTGCTCCTGGGAGGGCTGTAGGACCCCCTGTAGGAACGGGGCATCTTCCTGGGGGGGTCTGAGCCGGGAAATCTGCAGGGTCTGAGCTGGGCAGGGTCTGGGAAAAGCCTTTGGGATGAGGCTGGGGGCTGGGAGAGCCTTTGGAGCTGCCACTGGTGTGTGTATATTTCATATATATTCACATATAAATCCATCAACGCCTGCCTATTTCATATATATTCACATATAAACCTGTCAATCCCTGTATATTTCGTGTATATTCACATATAAACCTATTAATCCCTGTGTATTTCATATATATTCACATATAAACCTATTAATCCCTGTATATTTCGTGTATGTCCACATATAATTCTCTCAATGCCTGTGTATTCCATTTATTTACACATAAACATATCCATGCAGGCATGTATCATAAATTCATTAATCTGGATTTCCAGCCTGGCTGGATTTCCGTGGCACTGCTGCTCCCTGGGCCATTCCCAGTGCTCATTGCCCATTTTCTGGGGTTTATTGCCCATTCCCCAGGGATTTATTGCCCATTCCCGGGGATTTGTTGCCCATTTCCCCTTTCCCGAGGTGCCAGGAGCAGGTGCTGTGAAGTTTTTCACCTTCCACACCAGGAAAACCGGGCTGGGGGCACAAAAAGGGGCCTGGGCGAGGTGTGACCCCAAATCCTGCTGGGGTTCTGCTCCAGGTGGGATCTGCTGGGTCCTGATGGGCTCAGCTTAAATTGCGGAGCCTGGCCTAAGGGGGAAAAAGGGAGCCTGGGGGGGATGGTTGGGCTGGCTGTGCTGCAGGGGGCTCTGGGTGGGGTTTGGGGCTCTCTGGGGGTCTCTGGCTGTTTTCCCAAGGCTGCTCCTCTCTCCCAGGCCAGGATGATCCCGGGGCTGGGCCCAGGGCTGCAGGCACTGCTGGGGACTCTGCTCACCTGGGCCCTGACAGCAGCTGGGTCAGCGCTGGTGTTCGTGTTCTCCAGAGGGCAGGTGAGCCTGGGGTCCCACAGATCCCATGGGATCAGCCCCTGAGCCCCTGGGGCAGCCCCTGGGCCCTGGATCCCACAGATCCCGCAGGATCCCAACCCTAGGGCAACCCCTGAACCCCTGGGATCCCATAGATCTCACAGGATTTCAATCCAAGGGCAGGTGAGCCTGGGGCAGCCCTGGGATCCCATAGATCCCACAGGATCCTGACCTTGGGATCAGCCCCTGGGATCCCACAGATCCCAGTCCAGGGCCAGGTGAGCCCTGGCACCCCACAGGATCTGCTCCTGCCTGGGTTTTCCTGCCTGCTCCCAGCTCTGAGGGGCGAGAAGAGGAAAAATCCAGCTCCTTTCCCATCCCCAGGAGGGGAAGGAAATCAAATTTCTGAGCCTGGAATGTGCCCCTGGGGCTCTGTGTGGGAGCTGCAGCTCCCCTGCCTCTAACCTGGTTCTGCTGCCACGTTTCCAGGGCAGGATTTGGGTCAGTCCCTGCTCAGAAGGAGCAAACTGGGGAGCTCTAAGTCATCCTGGATCCAAAATTAGAGGCCTCCTGGCCAGGGTGCTCCAGATTGCCCAGATGGATTCATTATTTATGCCTCAGCCTTGTGATGCTTTATTCAGGAGCTGCCTGCTGAGGGAGGCTCCCTTTGAGCAGCACTTGGCTTTTCTGCCTTGGGGAGGGGGTGAAAACTTCCCTGGGAGAGGCAGGGACCCCCCAGCTGTGCCAGGGTGCCCAAACCCCAGTGCCCAGCCTGGCCTTGGGCACTGCCAGGGCTCCAGGGGCGCCCCCTCCTCCCGTGCCAGGGCACAGTTCCTGCCCAAAGCCCCACCTGAGCCTCTCCAGCCCTGTGGGCAGTGCCCTCACACCAGCTCAGGGTGGTTTTGTTTGCTTTTGTTTCCAGAGGCGGATCCTGGATGGGAGCCTGGGCTTTGCTGCAGGGGTGAGTGCAGCCTCCTCCTCCTCCTCCTCCTCCTCCCCCGTGCTCTCTGCAGCCCCTCCACGCTTGGTTTGCTTCTCCACTCGAGTTAAAGCCCCTTGGGTGATTCCCTGAGGGCAGGGAAGGGCTCAGGATGCTCCTGCTGAGGACGGGCTCGAGGCCCCCGAGCTGCCCACGCTGCCCTTGGCTCTCTGCAGTTCCATTCCCCCTTTCCTGGGCACACTGGGAGCACTGGGATGGGCTGGGGGCTCTGTGCCTGCCTGGATTTGTGCTTTAACCCCTCAGGAGGAGAGGGAAGGGAGAGCTGCAGCTCTCTGTGGAGGCTGTGTGTGAAATGTGGGGCTCTGTCCTGGAGGAAAAACCTGGAACTGTGGGATTTGGGAGCCCTGCAGGGGTTTGGGAATGTGGGGCTGGCACTGCCCAGGTGCTGGGGCAGCTGGGGCCCCGCCCAGACTCATTAAATCCCCTTTGTTTCCATCATTAATTACCGAGTCCAGCTGCTCAGCCCCACCCTGCAGGTGCTGGAGGGCACCTGGATGTGCTCTGGGGTGGTGCCCCTGCACCTCTGCGTGCTGGGCTGTGCCAGGTGGCCCTGGCTGTGCCACCCGGGTGTGTCCTGGTGCCACCTGGGCGCCTGCTGGGTGACAGGGGCCGGCTGTGCTCCCTGCAGGGTGAGGATTGTCCCCCTTGGAGGCTGTAGGGGACCCCTGGGCTGGCATTTCTGCAGGAATCCCAGCAGGATGAGGAGCTGAGGCCACCAGGTCACCCTGGCACAGCTCTGGGTCAGCCCTGCCTGGCCCAGGTGTGGCTCAGGGAGCTCAGCTCCTGCAAACATTGGCTTTGCCCTCAGCTCTGCCAGCTGGCAGGGCCCAGAGCGGGAGGGGCAATTGTGCCTGGAGGGGCCAGGTGGCCCTGGGGACACTGGGGACAGCAGGACGGGCAGCCCTGGGGACACTGGGGACACTGGGGACACCAGGCCAGGCAGCCCTGGGGACACTGGGGACACCAAGCAGCCCTGGGGACACTGGGGACACCAGGCAGCCCTGGGGACACCAGGCCAGGAGGCCCTGGGGACACTGGGGACACCAGGCCAAGCAGCCCTGGGGACACCGGGGACACCGGGGACAGCAGGACAGGAGGCCCTGGGGACACTGGGGACACCAGGCAGCCCTGGGGACACTGGGGACAGCAGGACAGGCAGCCCTGGGGACACTGGGGACAGCAGGACAGGCAGCCCTGGGGACACTGGGGACACCAGGCCAGGCAGCCCTGGGGACACTGGGGACAGCAGGACAGGCAGCCCTGGGGACACCAGGATGCCCCTGAGCTGGAATTTCCCCAGCTGGGCAGCGTTGCCATTCTTGGCTGGGTCTCCACCTTTTCCCTGCCTCAAAAGGGTTCAACAACACAAGGGACCTTTCCCTGTCCCCCTTTTTCCCCTTCCTTTCCCTTCCCCCTTTCCCCCCTCCTTTTTTCCTTCCTTCTTTTCCCTCCCCCCCTTTTTTTCCCTTCCTTTCCCCTCCCTTTTCCCCTTTCTTTCCCCCTCTTTGTTTCCTCTCCCTCCCTTCCCTTCCTTCCCTTCCCCTGGCCCCTCTTTTTTCCTTCCTCACCCCCTTTTTTCTTTTCTTCCTTTCCCTTCCCCCTTTTTCCCCTTTCTTTCCCCCCTTTTTTTCCCTCTCCCCCCCCTTTTTTCCTTTCCTTTTCCTCCCTTTTTCCCTTCCTTCCCTCTCTTTTCCCCTTCCTTTCCCTCTCCCCTTTTCCCTTTCCCCCCTTTTTTCCCTTTCCTTCCCCCCTTTTTTTCCCTTTCCTTTCCCCCCTTTTTTTCCCTTTCCTTTCCCCCCTTTTTTCCCTTTTCCTTTCTCCCCTTTTTTCCTTTCTTTCTCCCAGGACCCTGCAGCTGCTCCAGCTGTTCTGGGGGTGTTGGGGTGAGCCTGGACACGTGGATAAATTGAACTGGGATGTGCTGGGATGTACTGGGAGTGCCTCTCCCTGCCTCAGTTCCCTCTCTGGAGTCCCAGCTAATCCCAGTTCTGCAGGCAGGAGCTCTGAGCTTTTGTGTTTCCATAGAGACAAAGCTTTGCTTGCTGGGGCATCTGATGGCAAATTCTGCTTTTTCTCTGAAATCTTGAGATCCTTAAATGAGATTTTTAATTTTTTTCATTTATTTTTTTCCCCTCCCAGCCGTTCTCTGTGGTGCTGCAGGGCTGGGCTCAGCCACCAGGAGCAAACACCTGCAGCCCCTTCCCTGCAGCTTTTCCTCTGCCTGGGCTGCACTTTGGTTTTTCCCTGTCCCAGGTGCAGCAGGAAATCATCCTCAGCCCTCCCCAGGGATCAAATATTCCCTAAAACAGCACCAGGAGCTCACTCAGCTCTGCTTAATGGAGCTTTAATGAAGCCAAGTGGAAAAGTTTGGCAGGGAAAGTGCCCTGCCAATGTCTTCATCTTCCACCTGCCCTTCCCACTCCTTTTCCAGCATTTCCTGCTCCCCAGTGTCCCTTGGTGTCCCCATTCCCATCCCAGGGATCCCACAGGAGGGAGGCCAGGCCCTCCTGCTTTAATCAGGGATTTAATTGCAGCCCAGCCCAGCCCTGCCTCTGTTTATGCTGAATTTTAACTTAAATTGAGGCTGCACAGCCACGGAGGCACTGCTGGATCCCTGGGTTTGGGGGGGCAGAATTTGGGGGGTTTTCCCTGCACTGAATCCCTGTGGAAGGAGGTGCCAGCCCTGGGAGAGGTTTGGGTTTAAATCCTGCTGGGTTTGGAGGCATTCCCACCACAGGGAGGGCACAGATCTGGAGTCCCTGCTTGGTTTTTGTCTCCTGTCTCACTGCTGGAGCCCAGGGCGGGCTTTGGGGTCCCCCAGTGGGGCTTTGGGGTCCCCCAGTGATGCTTTGGGGTCCCCTGGTGATGCTTTGGGGTCCCTGAGGCTTTGGGGCTCCCCCAGTGAGGGTTCCTGAGCTTTGGGGCTCCCCCAGTGATGTTTTGGGGTCCCCCGGTGATGTTTTGGGGTCCCTGAGGCTTTGGGGTCCCCCAGTGAGGGTTCCTGAGCTTTGGGGCTCCCCCAGTGATGTTTTGGGGTCCCCCAGTGATGCTTTGGGGCTCCCCCAGTGATGCTTTGGGCCCCCTGAGCTTTGGGGTCCCTGAGCTGCCTCCTGCCTGCTGTGTTTTCCCAACCCTGCTGCATTTATGGCATTTTGGCATCTTTGGAGCACAAATGCTGCGAAAATGCCCCAAAATGCCCCAAATCCAGCTTGGCAGGAGCAGGAGATCCCTGATTCTGTGGGGCTGGAGGGAGGGGAAGGTGTGGGAAATCCTCAGTGCTCCAGAAGTCCCAGGTTTGTTGATCCAGGGGGATTTTCCTCTTTTACTGCTGCCTTTGCTGGCCTGGGGACACCTGGGATGTCTGTCCCTGGCTCTGGGCCATGCAGAGCTTTGGGACCAGTGTGGATTTGGGGTTTTGGCAGGAATCCTCCCCTTTTTGGCACCCCTGGGGTCAGCTGAGCCCAGCTCTGCCCCTGCCCTGGCTGGGCAGGAGATCCTAAATCCCCAAATCCCACGCTGGGCTCAGGGCTGGGCTGAGGAGAAGCTGCTGAGGAGCTCCCTGGCACCTTGGGGTGTTCTGTAAATCCATGACAAAGCCTCCCAGCACCTGGGGCTGCCAGAATCAGTGGAATCAATGGAATCAATGGAATTGATGGAATCAATCCCTTTTCCTGGAGCTGGGGCTGGCTCAGAGCTGTGTCAGCACTGCCCTGGAGCCCTGAGCTGTGGGATCCTGGCAGGATCTGGGGGCTGAGCTCTGTTTGCTGTGCAGAAATGAGATCCTCACATGAGCTGACAGCCTCACTCTCCAGAGCCTCTCCCTGCTGCCACGCTGGGCTGTGTGGTTGTTTTTTACAGGAGGTGGCATTTGAAAGATGAGGTTTGACAGCCCTGCTTAAGGCTGACATGACAGCCCTCGTTCCTCTTACTCACAGCAGCTCAGATTCACACAACCAAGCCCCAGGGGCTGAGGCAGCACAGGCAGCTCTGCCTCCCTGCCCTCGAGGGTGCCAGAGCCTGCCCTGAGCCCTGGGCTGGGCTGCAGCTCCTCAAGGGGGCTTGGAGCTGCAGGAGAGGGGATTTGGGGTGGGCACTGGGGAGGAATTCCCTGGGATGGTGTTGGGGCACTGGCAGGAGGTTTGGGGTGGAAATTGGGGAGGAATTCCCTGGGATGGTGTTGGGGCACTGGCAGGAGGTTTGGGGTGGAAACTGGGAAATAATTCTGTGGGAAGCTCATGGGACACTGGCAGGAGGTTTGGGGTGGGAATTAGGGAGGAATTCCCTGGGATGGTGTTGGGACACTGCAGGAGGTTTGGGGTGGAAATTGGGAAGCAATTCCCAGCTGGGGTCTTGGGGCACTGGCAGGAGGTTTGGGGTAGAATTTGGGAAGCTCTTGGGACACTGGCAGGAGATTTGCGTTGGAAATTGGGGAGTAATTCTCTGGGATGGTGTTGGGACATTGGCAGGAGGTTTGGGTTGGAAATCGGGAAGGAATTCCCAGTTGGGGTGTTGGAACACTGGCAGGAGGTTTGGGAGTTGGGAAGGAATTCTCTGGGATGGTATTGGGACACTGGCAGGAGGTTTGGGTTGGAAACTGGGAAGGAATTCCCAGTGAGGAGCACCCTGGTGCAGTGGAAGGTGTCTCTGCCCATGGCAGGGGGTGGAATGAGATGAGCTTTAAGGTCCCATCTAACCCAAACCATCTATGAGTCCAAGATAATTGACATGTGATTGGCATGATTTCTTATGGGGCATTGCCAGGAGATTTGGGGTGGAATTTGGGATGGTGTTGGGACACTGGCAGGAGGTTTGGGGGTGGGAATTTGGAAGGAATTCCCTGGGATGGTGTTGGGACATTGGCAGGAGTTTAGGTTGGAAATCGGGAAGCAATTCTCTGGGATGGTGTTGGGACACTGGCAGGAGGTTTGGGGTGGAAACTGGGGAGGAATTCCCAGTTGGGGTCTTGGAACACTGGCAGAAGGTTTGGGGTAGAATTTGGGAAGCTCTTGGGACACTGGCAGGAGGTTTGGGTTGGAAATTGGGAAGGAATTCCCAGTGAGGAGCACCCTGGTGCAGTGGAAGGTGTCTCTGCCCATGGCAGGGGGGTGGAATGAGATAAGCTTTAAGGTGGAATGAGATAAGCTTTAAGTCTAAGATAATTGACATGTAATTAGCATGATTTATTATGGGACACTGGCAGGAAGTTTAGGTTGGAAACTGGGAAAGAATTCTGTGGGATGCACATGGGACATGGGCAGGAGGTTTGGGGTGGGAATTTGGAAGGAATTCCCAGTTGGGGTCTTGGGACACTGGCAGAAGATTTGGGTTGGAAATTGGGGAGGAATTCTCTGGGATGCTGTCAGGAATTCCCAGTGAGGGTGGTGGGGCCCTGTCAGGAATTCCCAGTGAGGGTGTTGGGGCCCTGGCAGGAATTCCCAGTGAGAGTGTTGGGGCCCTGGCAGGAGGTTTGGGGTGGGAATTTGGAAGGAATTCCCAGTGAGGGTGGTGGGGCCCTGGCAGGAGGTTTGGGTTGGAAATTGGGAAGGAATTCCCAGTGAGGGTGTTGGGGCCCTGGCAGGAGGTTTGGGGTGGGAATTGGGAAGGAATTCCCAGTGAGGGTGGTGGGACCCTGGCACAGGTGCCCAGAGCAGCTGTGGCTGCCCCTGGCAGTGCCCAAGGCCAGGGCTGGCCAGGGCTGGCAGCACCTGGGACACTGGGGGTGTCCCTGCCATGGTGGCACTGGATGAGCTTTGAGGTTTTGTCCATCCCACACCATTGTGGGGCTCTGAGCATCCTGCCCAGGGGATCTCCTGGGCTTCTGGGGCTGCAGGGCAGAGCTGGGGTCACCTTTCCTCAGCACCCTCCTGCTGCAGCCTCTGGGCTCTGCTCCTTCCCTGCATCCCGCACCCGTTCCCGCTCTGGGATTTCCTTTCCTTCCATCCCATGGGATCTCACTGTGCTCCCCCTCTGTCCCCAGGTGATGCTGGCAGCCTCCTACTGGTCCCTGCTGGCCCCTGCCATCGAGCTGGCCCAGGAATCCGGGACCTTTGGGGCCTTCTCCTTCTTCCCAGTGGCTGCTGGCTTTGCCCTGGGGGCAGCCTTCGTGTATGGGGCCGACCTGCTGCTGCCAGAGCTGGTGAGTGGGGCTGGCCTGGGGCTCAGCCCAGTGTTCATTGTGGGGCTGGGGCTCAGCCCAGTGTTCATTGTGGGGTTGGGGGGCTGGGGCTCATCCCAGTGTTCATTTATGAGAATTGTGGGGCTGGGGCTCAGCCCAGTGTTCATTTATGGGGAATTGGGGGGCTGGGTCTTATCCCAGTGTTCATTTATGAGAATTGTGGGGCTGGGGCTCAGCCCAGTGTTCATTTGTGGGGAATGTGGAGTTGGGGGGGTCATCCCAATGCTGTCAGCGGGAATTCCCGGTTTGGGAGCTCGTCCCAGTGCTGTCAGTGGGAATTTCCAGTCTGGGGGCTCATCCCAGTGTTCATCAGCAGGATTGTGGAGCTGGGGGATCATCCCAGTCCTGGTCAGTGGCAATTCCCAGTTTGGGAGCTGATCCCAGTGCTGTGAGTGGCAATTCCCAGTTTGGGGGCTCATCCCAGTGCTGTGAGTGGCAATTCCCACTTTGGGAGCTGATCCCAGTGCTGTGAGTGGCAATTCCCAGTTTAGGAGCTGATCCCAGTGCTGTCAGCGGCAATTCCCAGTTTAGGAGCTGATCCCAGTGCTGTCAGTGGCAATTCCCAGTTTAGGAGCTGATCCCAGTGCTGTCAGTGGCAATTCCCAGTTTGGGGGCTCATCCCAGTGCTGTGAGTGGCAATTCCCAGTTTAGGAGCTGATCCCAGTGCTGTCAGTGGCAATTCCCAGTTTGGGGGCTCATCCCAGTGCTGTGAGTGGCAATTCCCAGTTTGGGGGCTCATCCCAGTGCTGTGAGTGGCAATTCCCAGTTTGGGGGCTCATCCCAGTGCTGTGAGTGGCAATTCCCAGTTTGGGGGCTCATCCCAGTGCTGTGAGTGGCAATTCCCAGTTTGGGGGCTCATCCCAGTGCTGTCAGTGGCAATTCCCAGTTTGGGAGCTGATTCCAGTGCTGTCACTGGGAATTCCCACTCTGGGAGCTGATCCCAGTGCTGTGAGTGGCAATTCCCAGTTTGGGGGCTCATCCCAGTGCTGTCAGTGGCAATTCCCAGTTTGGGGGCTCATCCCAGTGCTGTCAGTGGCAATTCCCAGTCTGGGGGCTTCCTGCCCTTCCTCCAGCTGCAGGGAACCCCAGTTGGTACCTGAGCATGGATGGATTCTCTCCCACATTTATGAATTTGTGATTTCCCCGAGCCCTGGCCGGCTCTGCTGTGCTGGATGCAGTTCAGACTCTCTGAGCTCTGTTATTTTTTATCATCTCCCTGTTTTTTCCCCCCTTTCACACTTTTGCTTTTGTTCTTCCCGCTGGCAGCTCTGCTCACACAGCTCAGGTGTGACCTGGTGTCCCAGGGGCTGCATCTGCAGAGCTGCCAGCCCTGGCACTGCTGCTCAACCCCAGCAGGCAGCCTCAGACTGCTGCTAAAAATACAAATAAACGGGGGAGCTGGTGGAATTCTGCAGCTGCCAGCACGAGAACGGCGCAGCCAGGGAAGAGATTTCCACATTGCCAAGGAGATCCTTCACTTTTCACAATGGTGCAGCCAGGGAAGAGATTTCCACATTTCCAAGGGGATATTTCAGTTTTCACGTTGAGTTCAGTGGGATTTTGCTGCCCTGTGGTGATGAGGAAGGAGTGGGAGGTTTTTAGGAGGTTTTTAGGAGTCTGTAGCACCAAGCTTCCCCTTTCCCTGGCTTTTGGAGAGGGGTCAGAGCTCAGTCAGCTGTGGGGAGAATTGCTGGGTGTTGTGGGGTCGCTCTGCCCTGGTTTGAAACGCCAGGTGTGTGCTAAGGAAGGCAGGAGCCTCCCTGAAATAGAAAATGGAAACTTCTTCCTTCCCTTTCCTCTGAAATGGAAAATGTAAAACTTCCTTCCTAAATTCCTAAATTCTTCCTAAATTCCTTCCTTCCAAAAATTCTAAAATTCTTTCCTAAAATTCCTCCCTGAATTCCTACATTCTTTCCTCCCTGAATTCCTGCATTCCTTCCTTCCTAAATTCCTACATTCCTTCCTTCCTAAATTCCTACATTCCTTCCTAAATTCCTTCCAAAAATCCTAAAATTCCTTCCTAAACTCCTACATTCCTTCCTTCCTAAATTCCTACATTTCTTCCTTCCTGAATTCCTACATTTCTTCCTTCCTGAATTCCTACATTTCTTCCTTCCTGAATTCCTACATTTCTTCCTTCCTGAATTCCTACATTCCTTCCTTCCTAAATTCCTACATTCCTTCCTTCCTGAATTCCTACATTCCTTCCTAAATTCCTTCCAAAAATCCTAAAATTCCTTCCTAAATTCCTACATTCCTTCCTTCCTGAATTCCTACATTCCTTCCTAAATTCCTTCCAAAAAATCCTAAAATTCCTTCCTAAATTCCTACATTCCTTCCTTCCTGAATTCCTACATTCCTTCCTAAATTCCTTCCAAAAATCCTAAAATTCCTTCCTAAATTCCTACATTCCTTCCTTCCTAAATTCCTACATTCCTTCCTAAATTCCTTCCTAAATTCCTTCCTTCCTTCCTAAATTCCAAATTATTATAATTTTGGAACTAAGGGGTTCTCAGGCAAAGGTATGGGAGCAGGAATGACAGTTCTTTATTAGGGAAGAAAATATTTTCCCTTGCAGGGATGAAACCACCCCATGGATCCTGAAATGCAGGAGCAGGGCCCGGGGCTCCTGGGGCTGGGCAGGGCCTGCAGGAGTGGAATTTGGGGATGTTTTGGGAATGTTTTGGGCAGAGAACAAAGGTTGCACCTTTAGGATGGGAATTTGGGATGCTCTGAGAAGAGAGCAGAGGTTGCACCTTCAGGATGGGAATTTGGGGATGTTTTGGGGATGCTCTGGGCAGGGAACAGAGGTTACACCTGTAGGATGGAAATTTGGGGACAGAGAACAGAGATTGCACCTTCAGGATGGGAATTTTGGGATGTTTTGGGAAGAGAACAGAGGTTACACCTATAGGATGGAAATTTGGGGATGCTCTGGGAAAAGAACAGAGATTGCACCTTCAGGGTGAGAATTTGGGGATGTTTTGGGAATGTTTTGGGCAGAGAACAAAGGTTGCACCTTTAGGATGGGAATTTGGGGATGTTTTGGGAAGAGAACAGAGGTTGTACCTGCAGGATGGGAATTTGGGGATGTTTTGGGAATGTTTTGGGCAGAAAGCAGAGGTTCCACCTTCAGGATGGGAATTTGGGATGCTCTGGGAAGAGAACAGAGGTTTCACCTGTAGGATGGGAATTTGGGGATGTTTTGGGCAGAGAGCAGAAGTTTCACCTTCAGGATGGGAATTTGGGGATGTTTTGGGCAGAGAGCAGAGGTTGCACTGCAGGGATGAGGATTTGGGGGCAGAGAGCCGAGGCTCTGGGCAGAGCTGAGGTTCTGGGCAGAGGTTAGACCTGAGTGTGTTGAAATGAAAACCAAAACTTTATAGTGAGGCTTGAGCCACCCCTGAGCCGGGAATGTGCTCTGGAGCCATCTCCCTTCCTGTGGAGCCCAGGTTTCACCCTGGCCACGGACAGGGGGTGCTGAGAGGGTCCCTCTGGGGCTCTCTGTGCCCTCCAGGCTGCATAACAACCACGTCTAAAAGCTTTTATCCACTCCTTGTCAGCCCAGAAGGGTTTTCCTGCTGCGCCAGCCCTGCTGGAGCTGGGAGCTGGGACACCCCAGTGTTTGGTGTTTGCCCCTGGCAGGGGCAGGGTTAATTTCCCGGCAGCTGGAGTCATTGCATTCCTCACAAAAGGCAGATCTAATCTATCCCACCTTTCCCTTTGCCTTTTCCCCGGTGTTTGTTCATCCCCCGGCTGAGGAGGAGATGCTGGTGGGCTTGGCAAAGCTCCCCACAGGATCTGGGGGCACTTGGAGGGCGAGGGCAGGGCAAGAGCAGATCCCAGGGCTTTGGAAAAAATTTATAACATTTATTTCCCCAGATCTCCTGGCATGGAGCCTCCAGTTTAACCTTTTTTTTTTCTTAAAATGAGGCTTTCAGGAGGTTTTTTGGGTGCTGATGGGGCTGGGTGAGCTTCTGGTGCCTTTCCTAAAAAGGATTTGGGGCTCAGCATCTTCCCTGCCAAGACCCAAAACCTCTGAGGGAAAGTTTACTTAAAAATTCACTGCAGCAGGTCCCTGATGGCTCAGCAGCTATTTTGGGTCTGCTGAAAGGCAGAAGAATGCTGGAATTAAGTGTTATTATTCCCATCCTTCAGAGCTGTCGTGCAGCTCCGCTGCCTGGGGTGGGTTTTGTTCAGAGTTTGGGGTTTTATTGGGTTTTATTGGGGTTGGGATGTGCTGCTTGCCCTCCCTGGGCAATCCAGAGGATTCCCCAGCCCTGGCTCTGGGTTGCAGCCACTTCCTGGCCGCTTTTCTGCTGGATTTTCATGTCCAGGTGCTTTTCCCTGCAGGAGCTGGGGGCTCCTGCATTCCTGCTTTGCTCAGATTTCCTTTGCTCAGGGCAAAACAAACAGCAGCCCTCGAGTTTGTTTGGTTTTGTGGAGCCCTGGCCCTTTTCCACAGGCTCTGGGAGCAAGGAGGGGTCTGGCTCTGAGGGTGAAAAACTTTGGGGGTTTTTTTTGGGAATGTAGCAAAGCCTCCCATTGGGAAACCTCCTTCCCTTCCGTTTCTAAATAACCCAGAGTTGCCTCAGGGTGGGTTTAATTGATTTATAATTTATGGTTATATATATATATATATATAAAAATGTATAATATATAAAATATATATAATGTATATAATGTATATAAAAATATATAATGTATATAATTATATATACACACACATATATATACACATAATATAATATATATAATATATATAACATATTATAATATGTATAATATATATAATTAATATAATATGTGTAATATGTATAATATAATTAATATAATATATATAATATAATTAATATAATATAAGGTTATAGATCCATGAGGGATTGATCCCTGTCTCCTGTCCCAGGTGGGATTTCTGCCATGAAAATCCCTGACCACCAAACCCACCCATGGGATCCTGG